TTGTATTTTTTATAAAAATTTGATGGCAAGCGTTGTGATGAAATTTCTCCTAATCCAGAAGTCCATGCGTCTGTGACTTTCGGCCAATTCTTTACTAGTTGCATATTCGACGGTATGTATCGGATTAACGAGACTGCTAACAACCAATACTGCAGCGTCATCACATGCAAATGAGCTTATTATCAGCAAACAGGTATGAACTAACCTCTGGTCTAGCAATTACTACATAAACAGCGCTCTTCGGCACATTGGTACCATTGATTTCTTGCCGTCAGTATCTTCGGAATCCAGAAAGTCAGTTTCTCCGGAACATCGTCAGCTTCTTTAGTTACACTTACAAAAGTCTCTCCGTCGAACTGCTCACTTTCCTGAATTACGTTAGAGAGAATTTTTTAGTTGCGTATTTCCAAATTCTAGGCTCTCAAGATTCTAGGTTTATCAAAAAACGCTTCATTTTTAGAAAGTATTCTCTATGCTTTCAGGAAACCAGCTTTTGCACCAGAATAAACATGCGCTTCGCTACTTTGTAAGTTATCTTTAAAAAGCGTTCCAAAACCTTTTCGTTCCCTTCAAATAAAAGAACGGATCTGGAGGCATGGTGCATCCCCAACAGCAGTGATTCGCGGGCAAAAATTTGCTTAGAAGAAAGCTGAAGACAACAAATCAATACCTGGCAAATCATAACACTAATTTGCCGCTAAAGTGAGCAACGAGTCATGACGGGATTGGCTTTCTTTACCATCAGAATCGGAATGCCGATTAACCCGAATCGAAAAGCAAGTGGTGATAGATTGCTTGGAAAGTTTTCATAGAAATGAAGGCTAAGCAAGATGTTGCTTACTATTATACTCAACCTGAAAACAATTTTTAATACCAAATATTTGTTTAAAAAAGAAACTAATAATACCAAGACTGCCACGTCAGTCAGTATTATCGGTATTCTATATTGGAAATGTTACCTGTTGCAGCTAAGAAAATATTTAAAAAAGGAAGGAACTCCTCAAAATGGGAGTTTTTCTCCTGCTTTCTGAGAGTTCAAAATTATCTGAAAACTTGCACGTATTACCTTCGCAAAATTATGAGCTTGTATTCGTTTGTTTCTGAGCTGTGTCAGCATTAGCAGGAAAATATAAATCCAAATTTTCTTCAAACTTTGAAAAAATTGCCAGTGAGCACAAAACTCGGGCCTACCGACTTCGTCCTCATTTATAAGATTAGTAAAGTAAAAAAATTTTCAAATCATCCCTTTAAGAAATTTTACTGCGTTACTCAATTTATAATTGGGTTCTCGCCTGACTTAATTTTTTGCTAGTCTGTGAGCATTTTCCATGCATTTGAATTTTCGCTCAGTAAGCTGAGAAGTTTTGCATCAATCTGATTTCTAGGTTGGCAGTTATGGCGTTCTCAGGAGTGATATGCGAGCCAACAACAACGGAATCAAACGAATACGATTCTCTCTCTGAAGTAAGTAACCTCATCACATTTCCAACTCATTCGGAAATGTGGTTCACAACTCTCCTTGAGAAGGGAAGCCACTGAATTTACCTCCAGATAGATGGCTTCTGTGACGTCTCACCTTCTGATTCCAGTACTGGCCAAAAGACTGCTGAGCCACAAGTGCTGGTGAAAACTATTTAGGGAGCAGGGCAAAAAATGTCAAAAAACGCATACTCCCAAGGCTATGTTTGTCTGCACTGTGTGTTTGGATTTCTGTTTGGCATTTTTAAGTTAGTAACCGAAACTGTTAGAAAGCTAAAATTTTTCCAAGATGCTCTTGTACAACCTCAGAAATTTAGAATCAAGTATGCTTGTATTCACGCATAAAAAACTGAAGTTTTTGGCGAAGAATTTTCCAAATCGGCAACCACATCAGATAGAAAACTGAAATTTTAAAAGGATGTTTCCAGCTCATGTGCTACCTTGTAAATTAATATTATTTCCACGCGTGCCCGTGTACTGCGAGCAATTCGTGAAAGCCGAGATATCCCTCTAGATTCACAAGCAGAACTAAGCAAAACTCATGAACACTTCGGCCATTGGTGCGTTATTTATTTCTATCGCAAAGTGAGCTGCGCTGACCAGTATTTAGCGTTTTTCTTTTTTTTTTTATAAAGGTTGCAATTTTTTGTCAAATGCAGAAATCACTGGACCTCAGCGAGGAATATGCAGATGAGCTGGAAATTGGCCCGGCCGACGCATTTGTTGTGGAAGAAGTTGTCGACAAGTGTTTCGTATGTTTCGGGCCATTATTTTTTAATAGTTTCAGAATCTCATTTATCACTGTAAAAAAAGTCGAATAAGTTAAATCGCTCCGCCAGTCTTCTTGGCTTTCAGCATTAAATCCCCAATTTCAAGTACCGCGAAAAAGCATGAATGAGTTGCGATCTCTGTTCTACTCAAATGAAAAGTACAAGCATGCGAGGGTAATCAAAAAAATGATTGTTAAGAAAAAATATGGACAGGAACTTCATTTGAAAATTCGTAAAAGTGAACTGTTTGTATGAAAACAGTAACGGAATAAAAGAATAAAATTTTCGGTCCATGAAGTCGCCTGCATTTCTCTCTTATATCAAAATTGGGCTTGTTCTATGCAACGA